CACATAGAGTCGGAAGGTGAAACAGATCTAATGTGCATCCGATTGTAACTGATATCAGATCAATGTGGGTCCGAAAAATTGTACCTTAAATTGGGCACACGTAGTCTGTCATATTTACAGTGGAACGTCGCTGGCTCTGGATTTATGACGATGAGGCGCCTTTGCTAATGTTGCATTGCGAGATAGGACAGACAGTCGTATGTTTGAGTTTCACAGAAGTCTTGGTCAGTCTCGGGGGTCTTAGTTCAATGAAGCTTTTAGTATTATATTCTTGAAACCAGGATTCTTGTATCTCTCTTACTGCGCATTCAGACCAAAGATCCGCACAGACGGACTAATTTAATGCTTATACAATGTATTTCACCAGCTAGTGCTCAGACCTATCCCGAGTGCGCGCGTTGACGAAAGATAACGGGAGTCCGTCTAGTGTGAATATGCTTTAGGGTAGCCATGACATTTTTCCCGTCAAGTCCTGTACATGTAGGGCCTATATAATTCAGGCAAGTCAATAGAAGCTAATTTTTGTCCAACGCGCAATTTTTGTTGTGTTGTTGAAACGGTTAAATCTGATAGATCTATCATATTCCTACTCCTTGTCTAATTTTGATTTGATATAACATCAATTATAATAAAATTTGACCTTAGTTCATCTATTCTCGGAAAAAAAGAAGAAAAAAACAGACCAGTCGGGTGATCTCAATTTGCCCAAGGCAAAAAAGGCACTCAAACGAACGAGCACGTGGCGCGAAATAAACATGAGGTCCCCAGTCAGTAAACTGACGGGCCACGGTGCGGTTTTTGGTCTGAATGCGCCTTTTGCATTGCTGCGTGTCCAAGTCGCAGGTCGAATTTAGTGATTCCGAATATCTCGCTGGCCAAAGCAAGAGAACAGTGCGAGTAAAATCTGTTCAAATACCAAAGCTTTCAAAAGTGACACTGAATAATGTTTTTGTGTTTTTTATTTGGGAAGTGTGTTGCAGCGCTCGCAACTGCATAAGGTTATGTGAGCGCGCGGGACACACCAAACATTTTCAGTTGGTAGGAAATTTTAAATTTTGCCCGGGTGGCGGCTGTAGCCTACTCTTATCGATTTTGGACCATCGAGGGATCTTTAACGTGCGCAACTTGCTCACGAGACCTTCGAGACTTTTCATCCTTATATATATATTATATGTTGTTTCCACAGAATTCTATAAGTGTAGAATTCTGTGGTTGTTTCCAACTGGATACAAAGAGGGAAAAATAAAAGAAACAACGATATATAAAGTGTGCTGTGTACTTATATGCTTCACATGAAAATAACAAATCAATGTGATGTCAACAAATGAGAAAGGGACAAAGTGAAGCGGAAGTGATTAATAAACTTTCTTTCTAAAAGAAAAAAGGTTCATCTTCTTTTCTTTTTTTCCCCTTTAATTTTTATACCGCATTTTTTTTTTCGATTTGTTATTCCCCGGCGGTGGTGTTGTTTGTTTTTTTTAGTTGAAAAATGCCAGAAATCGCGGCCGCTACAAACGCAGTTGCTAGGGAAAGGTCTAGGCCTACAACATCCCAGCTTAAATTTTCTCTACATTCGGGAATCAAAATCGAGTCTCCTGTGTGCGACAGTAAAGCGTCCGCCGCACCGCAGACACCAGTCTGGCGTACATATCTTTTTAAAGTGATCGTGGTGACTAACTGTAGAATCAGGTTATTTTATTTTGTTTCCTATACTGGTACAAAAATATAATATAATATACATGTATTATGAGTGAAGGCCGGCGGCAGACGTCGAATAACCTCCCTCATAGTCCCGAAACCACAGAATTCTACACTTAGTGTAGAATTCTGTGCCTGAAACCAACGTCCTCTTTTCTTTTAGTCTTTTAAGCATTTATATCCCCCTCCCCAATATTTCCACCCCACCCCACTTGGATTACGTTTCACTTTGCATAAGAATATGAATGTATGTGTGTGTGTGTGTTTGTGTGTTTGTGTGTGTGTGTGTGTGTGTGTGTGTGTGTGTGTGTGTGTGTGTGTGTGTGCGCGCGCGTGTGTGTGCATGTTCTCGTGCAAATTGGAGTAACTATCACCGAATCATACATACTTTATACACTAGTGATAGATGTTGTCAACATTTTAACACACTTTCACGTTCCACTACAGCATGCCACTATTAACCCTTTTTCCTTCCACGCCCTAATTGCCCAATTTAGATAGAGAATGGAATAGGAGGTTAACAAGGTTAACTTCTACTTCTAAATTATACAGATGTCTCCGAGAAGTACGTGACCTCAATTTTTCTAACCTTGGAGCAAAGGAGGTGGGGGGTGGGTGGTTGAGGTGGGGGAGGGGTGGATTATAAAGTTGCCTTTGAAAGAAGAAATTCAGAACAAGTCTCAAGCTGGAAAATGGAACAGCTAAGATAAATGAAAACAGAACTTCATTTTTTTCCTCGAAAGTATTTTTTGGATACACTTTGGCCTAATTTATCCACCTTTTTTTCTTTATCTTTTTAATTTTCCCCTTATTTTGATGTTGTTTTTCGACCAGTTCTGAAAAAAAAAGCAACGAAAAAAAAAAGCGAACCCCAATCCGGTCTCTTGCTATTCCGCATGCCTAAGTGGTTTTAGTTTCAATAGCCAAGCTTCTATATGTTCTGTTCCCAATCTCTCTTAGGCCTGCCTCTTCGATCCTCCCTTGCCTCCTATATCTTTCCTTCGCATATGTTTCTCGGGTGAATCATGGCATTTGATTTGCCCAAAGTGTGAGAGCCAGGGTGGTAGATTTGTCTTTTACTCCTACTTAAAGACTGTAATATCTACAGCGCTTGATAACAACCCCATCTCCCCATATTTTATTATTTCCGTTAAGGTCAACGATGGTCACGGCGATCCCTTGTACGAAACAAAGTGTTCTTTCAGATAATATTGTATGGAAATGGGCTATTTAATTCTGATAGGCCTGCACTTATAGCAAAGATACTCTTATAGACTATAAAAAATTAGTTTACTGGTAGGTCGGAGTAACCGACTTCAGTATTAGATGTCTTTTAGAAGTTTCTGTCTGGTGTTCTTTCATTCATTCATCCAGTGCCAGATCTGCGACAGACATCGGCGATCGTGGTTCTCCATTCATTCCTTTGCTCGGATGCTCTTTAAAAAAGCTACGGTTCCCCGACCTTTCGCCGTTACCAATTTGTTAAGGTTCCCTAAATAGGTTGCCCGGGCCTACCCCTGCCTCCCTTGCCTTTAATTTTGCCAATAAGAGCTGGATGTTCAAGACCTTTATGTCCATTCAAGTGTCCTAAAAACTTCATTTGTCGTTTCCTAGCTGTTTACCAGTGATCAGCGTCCCGCGTGGGCTTCACCAAGCACTACCTCATTTGATTTCTTTTCCTTCCACGATATTCTAAGCAGTCTCCCAAGAAACCACATTTCTGTTGTTCCATTCTATTTTCACTGTCTTTAGTGATTGTCCAGCATTCACAGCCTAATAGGATTGACCATACATAGCATTTCAGAACTTTCATTTTGGTAGTAATTGAGATGTTTCTATTTTTCAGAATTGGGCTCATTTTATTGAAACTCGTCTTAGCCATTGCAATTCTCCGTTTTATTTCTGTGGAACACAATTTGGCTCCAGACGTTAGTATATATCCTAGATATTTAAACCGCTGGACCTGTTTGAGCTTTTCATCTTTGCTAATGAGATTACAATAAATATGATCTGCTACTTTTTGGGATATTACCATGCATTCTGTTTTCTTTCCATATAATAATAATCCTTTTATGTTCACTATCTTTTACAACAGCACCTAGAAGCGATTAATTTCATTTAAGCTCTATAAATTTTAATATTCCCTGTAGGCCTATATGTTGGACCATTTATGTTCTCGCAGACGACACGAGTTGATGATTAGAAGTAAAATGTTAGAAACGCACGACGGCACTGTTTCCGATTGTACATTATTATTACTTGAGCTGATGAGTAGCTTTGAAAGGCTAATCTTTAATCTCAGGGTCAGCTTTGACTCGGCATTTTTTGGTAAACTCATTTTGTTCTGAAGGCGTTTGTTTCCAGCCCCTGTATAATTCATTTTTCATGCATGATAAAGTTAAGCCCATCTCCTTCACTTTCCGTTTCAGTTTAATGTTTCGGTATTTAGTGAGTTATCTATTCCAGCCTCCCGAATAGTTGAAAAGACCCGTATGACACAGACCTATCAGCACAGGCAGGAAGTCGTCTCTGGGGTCTGGTAGCAAGAAATCGTCAACACAGAAGTACCACTGGGTCCAGACATCGTCAGCTAGAAAGATGGTAATTTACCCTTTGAATTCACAATTTACACCTGTTACTTGTGTTTCCTTCGACTGGATATCGATATTTGATGACTAATTCTTGTAGATATGAGTATTTTTGTCAGTAAAGCCGTTTCAATAATTTTGTGTTCGACGCCGATGTGATCCCATTGGCATTATAAAATTATTGAACATTGAATGATTGATGATCTTCGCCTTGATTCTTTCTAGAAATCTAGAGATGTATCCATGGTCTTTAGTAGTCGCCCACTGCCATTCCGCTACCAATCTTCTATAAATTAGATGTAAATAAATTACAAAGACTTAATGAAGGTAGACTCTAAAATTTATTCATTTTTAGCCCATTTGACATAGAGGCCTACACAGAACTTGGGGAAGCAAGTCCTGCTTAGAAGAATTTCGCCTGGCCTGGTTGCTAAACTGCTACACAGTGTAACACAGGCATTACAATGACTAGACTCTAGTCATACTCATACTACTTGCCTACATAGATGACAGCCTACTGGCACTGGTTGTGGAGTTCAGTAATATTGGGTGTCCATTTGCCAGGCATTGGGAGTGTATACAGACCCGGTAACTGGGAACAAAGTCACAAAGTATACAGACCCGGTAGGGGAACTCTTTTGTTTTTTTCGGAAAGTTTCAGCGCCCTCTTGTCTCAGGGAAGACCTGGGTTATTCTAGATCTATGGCCTAGGTCTAGATCTAGACAGACAGACGTAAATCATTGGTCTAGTTTCGAGGCTAGCCTAGATCTAGATCTAGATCTAGATCTAGATTCTAGATCTAAATGAAGATTGCGGATGTCTTTTCGAAGAACGATCGTTTTCCCTCCGTTTCGGAGTTGGAGGAATCACTATTTGAAGAAAAGAACAATGCATAATTTCAATCGAGCAGTGTCCCTCTCTATTTCTCTGCCTCTCTCTCTCTCTCTCTCTCTCTCTCTCTCTCTCTCCTCTGTTTATCGTTCGCCTTCCCTTTCTATCTTTTCTCTTGTTCCCTCCTGTCAACTGGGGCATGTCATATATATATACATTTTGCTAGCTTCTCTCTCTCTCTCCCTCTCTCTGTCTTTCTTTCTCTCTCTCTCTCTCTCTCTCTCCCCCTCTCTCTCTCTCTCTCTCTCTCTCTCTCTCTCTCTCTCTCTCTCTCTCTCTTTCACACACACACACACACACACAAACACACTACCGGGTCTGGGCGCTGAAACTTTCCGAAATCACAGAAGAGTTCCCCTACCGGGTCTGTATTCTGTATACTTCGTGACTTTGTTCCTGGTTACCGGGTCTGTATACACTTCGTTTGCCATTTTGGGCTTGGGACTGGGTCAATTAAGGCCGGCTCCAAGATATTTCTCTGAAGGCTCGGGGAAAATAAACTTGTCCTCTGTGTGTGTGTGTCTAAGGTGTGAACGGGGAGGGGGGCGTTTAGGGATTTTTTTGTGATTTAGTTTTTGCTTTAGGGGTGACTATTAAATGCAAAATAAGTTACTGCCAAATTCGAGCAGTCTTGTTTTCTGGCAGTCCATTTTGAAGGCATTTTCCAATAAAGTATAGTCCGGGAACGTTGCCCCAACCGCAATTGAAATGTATCTGAATATTGAACCATCTAAAAATCTCTAGCTCTAGAAATTGAATGCGATGAAAAAAATGCTTCTTCCCAGTCCTCGCAGAATGGCAGAATGAAAGATGATGCCAAACTCTCGCAAATAACCCAAAAAATCTCGAGAACGGAAACTGTTAGGGGAAATAGAGGTCAAGTTTATTTTCCCCAGCGTTCGGAGAAATGGTCACTTCGCAATAATAATCATAATGGTAGTCAGTGCTCTACGACGACTATACTCTTGCCTTTGCTCTTCCAACAAATTTGACCTGAAATTTAAAGAAGAAATAACACTGACCTCTGTAGACTGAGAAACTTGGTGCAGAGATCATATCCAGCACCAAGCAATGTTGTTGTAAACACAAAATTTACGCACGCCTGTTGGTTTGACCTAGCATTCATGAAATGAATGAATAGGCATAGGCTGCCTGAGTTTGACATTGCCATTGCCTCGGAGATTATTATAGTCAGTACTTCCTATCCCCACATCATTATCACTTCTCTTTTGTAAAAAGTGCAATAGTGTAGGGCTACAGATATTTCGTAGTTGACGATCTGTTTGCCTCCGTATCGTCTCGGACCGGATAAGTTCAGGATCTGCATCAAGTTAAATTAGAAGCCTGCCGTATTGAACATTTCTTGCACTCAGCCATTATCCCTTTATAGATTCATTAAGGGTCGGTGGGCAATATATTTTCATCTGTAAATTGGTCAAGATCTGGCTTTTCAAGATACCGCAAAATTTTGGTGCCAATTTCCTCCCTTCTTACATGATTCATTCATTCTTACTGTTTGTCTAGGGGTCTTCGCTGCAGCTGGTAAGAATAAATGCATTGATCAGGGAACTTGATAGGTGATTTTTTAGAAAAAAAAATCGCTATCAGAACTTTTTTCAAATCTGTCAAGATCCAGAGAATTTGCCATTGTGAGGATTGTACGAGTGCATGATAAAGGCCACGATGAAAGAAATTGATGCTAAAACTAAAGCTAACAGGGATGCCACTTTTTCGCTTTTTTTCGGTATTTTGATCCTGATCGGCTATTCCGTTATTGGGATCGAGATAGAATCTATAGTTGGAAAAAAAAATTAATAAAATAAAAACCCACTCTATGTATACCCTTTGGATTTCAAATTGATATTCATATATGTTAGCGAGACTGTGGCACATGGATTTTCAGCTATTTAAAAAAAAGTTGAGTGGCATCCCTGGCTGAAATCAAGAAAAATTGAAAGTGTTGCTCTAAGGTTGTGACATTTGACATATGAATGGAAGGTGGAAGATTAGGGTACGCGCTGGGTGGCTGCATCGTCAAGGTTAATGTTCCTGGCCTGGAGTTGCCTCTTTCTGTCAATGGTGCGATGACAACATGAATTATAGTGGCAATGTCAAAATGGAACTTTCTTTAAAAAATTGCCAGCAAGGGACAGATAATTTATTAGTCTTGGTGAAAAAATAAGTGTCATGGGTTGTTAAAAATCTATTCACACTGGCTCCTATGTCATTTTCAATTCTCTAAAATCACTTAATTTCAATTTCTTCAAGAGCTTTACCCAGAACCGAAACAGAATTTTCCTTACTTTTACCTTCTGCTTTGTTGGAAACACTGATCAACTGAATTGATTATTTTGTTCAGAAACTGACGTGCATCATGTAAAAACTAGAATTGATTCATGCTCATACTTTTATAGAGATTTGCAAAGAGAGAAAAACAAATTTTGGTTTCTCTTTGTCTGATACTAATATAATATTTTGCTTTTCACATGGTTTTATTAGTAGCATTGTCATTCAATACATGACGACACACTTGACAGAATTGCTCCTGGAAGCCCTTTTATTGTCATCAGTATGGAAAGAACAGGTTTATGAGTGCCAATTCTCTAATTCTGAAGCTGTGTTCGGGGTGTGGAGGTTCCAACAATCTATGGTCATGATGCTTTACTTTATCTTTATGTTTGATATTCAAACATGTCTGCAATGAAAGAATCAAAAAGGAGTTGAGATTATCAGTGGATCTTTTGTGACAGAAAAGTAAAGTGTAAAATGGTTTTTATATGGTTTAAAATTGCCTGTGGCCTCAAGGAGATATTGTCCCAAGTATATATTTTGGTGTTGGGTAATTTGAGGTCAGCAGTTTTGGGTATGATTTTGCCACATGTTCTGAGATATTGGGAATAGGGATTTGGGTGAGGTAGGCCTACTCAGCTGCAAAGGACAGTCATTTTTAGACTGGCTACCGTACAAGTGCAAGTTTTACAATTTCATTTCTTCATATGAATGACTACAAACTGTATAAATAAGATATGTTTTGTTGCTGTAAGTGGCAGACAAAGTAATTGGTAATTGTGTTTGAGTAAGGAAAGCATAAATAGTTTTCTTTACAGGCTTATATGGTTGCTTTTAAGCACAAAGGGGTTATCCTGAAAAATGCTGTTTTGAGAAAATCGAAGGTAAAGTTTCTGTCCCTTGTTCAGTTTCTTTAAAAGACAAGGACAGTTTTCTTTATAACCAGACAAATATATATACACACCAATGAAACCAAACTTCTCCTCTAGGTAGGGCAATACACACTTTTTGTGTAGGTCAAGATTTCCGGAAAGCCCCGAAATATGGGTTAGCCCCCTTGTCCTTAAAAGCGACCATATGTTTGAATGCACTCAAGTCTAATTGATATTTTGCATCTTTTCCTTCCAAAGGGCAACGAAAGCAGCCTTCCAATGGAACTCTGTTCCACATGTGAGTGGCTTTGAATGTATACGTGTATTTTTTTCTTTTTGAACAAATTTTTATACTTGATCTTATTTTGTTAGGGAATTATTGTTTTGTTTGTGTGTGTTTTGTCACATAGGTACATTCTAAAGCTTTTGAAGTAGTGTTTTAATGAAAGGGCATGTTGGGTCAGTTAGTATTATTTGTAAGTATGCGACCGATGCAGGTTGAATTTGAGTTTATATGTAAATTAAATATATGGAATTGGGGTACTTCAAATGAGAACACCGTGAGAAGAATGACATAAAATTTTGTTGTATTTTTCTTTTTTTTTTAAATGTCAGTCAAAAACTGTACCTATTTATGGATGAAGTTATCCGTTTTGATCTGCATTTTGTCCCATAAATGGATACTTCTTTGTGGTTTCCTGGGTTTGATAACTGAACGGATACTTTTGCTGTTGTTGATTTTTTTATTTTTTTTAGCAAAATCTTGGACTGTGATAGCTTAAATTTCTTGGTAAGATTGCAGCATGAGCATATTGATTTTATTCATTTAAAAAAATGAAGATGTTTTTTATTTCCACATATAATAATATATATATATATTTCATTCACAGTTGATATGGATGAGATCAAGCGGCTGGGCAAGCGATTTAGAAAATTGGACTTGGACAATTCTGGGGCCCTCAGTATTGATGAGTTTATGTCATTACCAGAATTACATCAAAACCCTTTGGTGCAAAGAGTAATTGATATATTTGACACTGATGGGAATGGAGAGGTAGACTTTAAAGGTTAGTGGTGCTTGATTTTGTGATTCATGTATCTTTCTTTTTTAATTTTAAAAAATGTCATAGGTCTAGAATATTTTAGCATTCCCGATTAATTAGTAGATGATACTTAAACCTCTACTTAGAGATTGTTGAAAGACAAGCAGAGAGAAGGACATTTTTTTTTCAAGATTGTTTTTTTTTCCCACCCATTCAATTCCACTAGTTGAATGTAATAATAGGACAATGGTTTCTATGTGTTTCTAAGAAAGCTAACTTTCATTCCATCTCTTTCGGATGACTTAGATCTTTTATTGAAAAACAAAATTAGAGCTTTTGTGTGAGGGCATGCCAGCCATCGATTCTGGAGTGCAAAGGTTAGTCGATGTGCCATGTGCCTGTCGAGTCCCCTTCAGGCCATGCACTTATTGTAGCAAATATGGATCCCCAAAGTCCTTGTTAAAGTGGATAATTGTCCCAGCCAGAGACACCGGCCTTCTAGAAATATATGTGTAAGTCCAGAAGAAAGTTGTCACATCCTCCATGATGTTTTTACTTTCCTTTGTTTGAAAGTAAAATTTGCGTTCTGGTTTGAGCAGTTTATTTTTAATTCCAGGTAATGGTCAACATCTGTTGCTTAAATGTTTGTCTGAGTATATGTATAAAGCTTTTTATAAGAATCGTTTTTGAAGGATGTTGTGCTAAATATGTATTTAATTAACCAGATGAACATGATATCTCACAATTGTTTTGATTTACCTCTTTGTCTGCAGAATTCATTGAAGGCATCTCACAATTCAGCGTAAAAGGGGACAAGGAATCCAAGTTGCGATGTAAGTATCAATGTTATCTACAGAGCAGACTCAAATTACACTTAAAATAGCAGGCTGAACTGGATTATTTGAGCTGGACATTTGGCATCTGTTCTGGGCAGCAAGTTCGTTTCTGTGTGTTGTAGATAGATTCTGTGGATGGTTTGTCTAAAATTCTGGTTCAGGCTGGATATAATTGTTTGCCAGGCCAAATACGGCTTGCGGTCCTTGAGTTTGACACCAGTGTGAAAGAGCTACAAGGTTTTTTTCTTACTATTGCAATACAATTTGTGAGAATATATCCCCCTGCTGTGCGTTCTGCCTGTGCCAATACCGTCTTGCTTACTGTCTAGGGATGTGTGTTCATTGTATGTCATGTGTTTTTCAACTCAAATCTGAGCCAATTTTATTAATTCCTTTTCTTTTAGATGTAAATCAAAATATAATCCTTCATTTAATAAATATTGTGTATATTATACAGGGTTTTGTCATTTGTTATAGTATTTGGTCTTTTTGTTTCTTTCATTTTGGTTTGCTTGTGGTGCCTCTCAAATATTTAAGTACGATTTTTATGAAAAGTGGAAATTACTGCTTGTAAAATTTTATGTAATCAGAGAAAGTTCATATAATTATTTTAAAATGTGTACAAAATTTTCAAGCTTTAATTTCCAGTCTTTATGCAAGCATGTTGTCCACAAACAGTACCAACAGACTGGGTAAAAACTAAAATCATTGTTATGGGATATTTAATGCTTATTTAAAGAAAAGAGGTAATGATAAAACATTTGTATACACTTTAAAAGTTCTTTTGTGATGTCTATTTTTTTTTTAACTTAAAAAATGTAAATGAATTAATAAGGGAGGATAATAAATACAAAGAATATTGTGGACTAAAGCGGGGCTGGAAATGTTCTTGGTATGCCTGGTGTGCGTGTGATAAGCCTTACTGTCAGCATGAAGTGTAGCAGTGTCCAGCTGTTGAGTTCCCGTGGATTTCTGTGTCAGATGGACCAGTATTGATTGAAGATTTGCCTTCTAGAGCCTTTCGTTTTTTTTTTTCAAAGCACAGCCAGTATGTTGAGCTGTTGTGAATAGGCTGCTAGGATCTTATAGAGATGACTTGTTGGTAGTAGCTTAAGCTGGTAGAGGGGAAGGGTTGGTTGATATCTCCACCTGGTGTTTAAGGAGCTTTGAGTTAGGAGCAGCTGCAGATGCAAGTGAGAAATATTGATTTTTTTTTATATTAAAAAAAGTTACTTTCATGCATGCCTAGTGTAAGCTTAGCTACCAGTGCTGTTGTTCATTGAAAGGAAAATTTTTAGAAATTGGTAGAACTCTTTACTTTCTCCAGTCATTATTTGAAAACATTTTAAAAAATAAAAAAGTGTTTTGAAATAACGAGTCAATGAAATATTGTATACAGAACCATTATATTGGAATGTAAATTTATATTTTTTTGTTTTTGCTTCGTTGGGATCTGAACGGACAGTTTTGATATGGCTGTGGTATGTCTGCAACCAGGACCATATCTGATTTAGAGTTACTTCACCGAAAGGTGGTGATTATTGTGTGGACTTGACATATCATATCCTGGTTTGAGGAGCCTGTGAATTTTCATAGTAACCTAAATAACTGAATGATTTATTTAAGGGGGTTCGATACTTACGGGACTACATTTTTTAACTAAAGACAAACTGAAACACTTTTTGTCACAGTCAGTAAGTATGAAACAAAAGATTCATATTCTGCTGTTGACACACTCAATTACTAAGCCGTTGCTATGGAGATGGTGGCCATCTTGAAAATTGGATAGAATTATTTTTTTTCTTCACCATTTCTATAGTTTTTAACTTTTAAAAATTCTGTAACTTGCAAAATGTCTCAAATGAATAGGTGGTTGCTGCTGGCTATTTTGATTTTTGATACTATACATATAAAGTATCCAAAATTATTCTCAAAGATGGGGATATGGAATTTGATCTTTAAAAAATATTTTTGGCATGAAAAAAATTGTAAAACAAATTCTAAAGCAAAATGTTAAAAACTAACCAGCTGACTACAAGTACAAAGCATTTCTCTAACTACAGGCCAAATTTCAAGTAATGGAAATTTAAAAATTGGAGAGAAAAAAAGACATTTGCAAGCAAAAAGTGGGGAAACTGTGTGTTTTAGGAAAAACGGGTTAAACATCGGAAATGTTTGTTCACAACGTAGAATCCAATAAAATTAAATTCTATTAATGTTGCTCACTCAGCTACTAGGGTCTATATAATCTAGACTAAATGAGGGATAGGAAAATGCCAAAAGAAAAAAAAAGTGCTCTGAGTGAGTGAGAATCAGTCCCTGAGGCCCTAGAACCGAACCGCGAGTCCCCTTAAAAAGAAAACAAAAAATGGTGTTTTGTGAAAGATTTAACTTAAATGATATCGGTGTCAAAATACATATTGACAGCACAGTGTAAGACTGTCATACTTCACTTTTAAAAACAGCGCATGGCAGAGTCTTACTACGCAAAGCTGTCGATATGTGTATGGAGTTTATGACTTAATGAACTGTAACTTAAACATTTCTGTGGATGGTTGTTGGGTTCTTGGGTGTGTTATTTACTGCTGCTGCTGCTGTTTTTGTTTTGAGGAACTGATTATGTTAAACATTTTAATACAAAATGTAGATTTGAGCAGTTGGATATATAACAGATAATCTCTTGTAATGTTACAATGTAGTGCAACTGTAAAAATGTCAGCGTCTGAAGAAATAATCTGTTTGCTCCAGTAAGAACTTTGCAAATTTGTATAGGTTTAATGCCCCTTGCTATGTCATAAGGTGGTTTAAGAGGTGAGACCTCCGAAATTAACATCCATCGCCTATAAGACCAAACTAAATTAAATTTTTTTTTGTAAAGTGTCTTTCTCATGGACACGCCAGACTTATCAGAGCCTCTGTCCCCTGAACCAGCTATCTTAAAATATTGAGTCTGGTAGCCTTACCACTAGAAGGACATTCAGGAGGCTGTCTTCACACAGATTTTTTTAATGAAGGAGAGATTTCTGACTAACAATCCAAAGTATGACTATTAGCTGAAGCAAAATGAGTGGACATGCATTTGCTCTGTATATTCAAACTGTTTTTTGTTGTGTCGAATGCAACAGGACACAAGTATGTCAGCTCTCATTTTGATCGGTATTTGAAACTTTAAGGCACTATCTTTACCTTTTTTTGTGTGTCAACAGTTGCCTTCAAGATCTACGACATGGATAAAGACGGGTACATTTCCAACGGCGAGCTGTTCCAGGTGCTGAAAATGATGGTGGGGAACAACTTGAGGGACACCCAGCTGCAGCAGATCGTGGACAAGACAATCATCCATGCAGATGCAGATGGAGATGGAAAGATCTCATTTGAAGAATTTTGTGATGTAAGTACAAAATATATATACAAGTGTTATAGTGCAGAGCATCAACTTGTTTTGATTTTGATTATAGCCATTCTCTATGGAGCTGATCATTTTGAAGTGTATTGTGAGTTGCACTATTTCTTAATCCATATTATGAATACATCAGGTCGCTAATGCTTCCTTGTTTTTATTGTGTCTTTGTCAAAACAACTGTACAAGATGCTTACTTTGAGGTTTTTTTACACATTTCGTACAGAGCCCCTCTGCTTCCTTTGCAAAAATTACGTTGGGAGAGCTTTACTTTTACTTTACTTTTTTCTTCCGCTTGTACTGGGGGGTGTCGCGGGGAGACACAGGCGTCTGTCTGCAGCAAGACGAGTGGCCTGTAGGAGGGACATCCCGTGAGCTTTGAGGGTGTCTCCGCAGGGTGGCCGGCAGTACTTTTTTTAACCTGCAGATGGATCAAAATCTGGCGAACCTTTTGTGCCAATTTCCTTCTTTCTATCATTCACTCACTCCTTCTGTCTATCTTCGGATTGTTGCCGCTGCTGGAAAATCTGCGTGTTGATCATGTAAATTCACTTGTGATCTTAGACAGAAAATTACTGTCAGATAGAAACTTTTTTTGCAAATTTGTCTATATCTAGAGAAATTATCAATGCGAAGATTCTTCGGCACGTGAACGCAATATAAGGGCCGCGATGAAAGAAATATATGCTGATACAGGCGTGCCCACTACGGATGGGATCGGCTGATCGCCCGACTCGGTTTCAGTTTCAGGCGATCAAGTCGGGCGATCGGCCCAATCCAGCCGTAGGTAAAATCAAGAATAATTCGAAGCGGTGTTCCGAGGTTGTGACAGGCGACATTCAGACGTGAAAATTTTGAAAAAAATTTGGGTACAGTAGTCTCCGCCTAAACGTATGGTGCTCGGGAGGGCTCCTTAGCGTTTGTTTATACGGAGTGTGCGTTTACATGAACCTTAGCAAAGGGAGGAAGGGACACAGTCATCTCATTGCCTTGATATTCTAGTTACCTCCCTTTGGGGTGGGAGTCACTTTGGGCTGATAATGTGACGACATGTGTTTGTTTTGTAAAAGATTCCCCGACTGAGGTTAAGACTGCAAAGGCGTTGAATGGGTGTGTGGGGGGGGGGGGGGGGGGGGGGGGGGGGGGGGAAAACCCCCGGTTAAGAAAGGCCCCTGAATGCACCTTAAAATGGCGGGAATCAATAGCCTAAAAAGAAATTGTTGGTGATAGTCATAGAGATGACAGCCCAGCCACTTGGCTTTCCAAGCGACCACCCGCGACGGTAAATTCATTAACGAGCATTCACGCGCGTTTCGCATCATAGGCTTAGGTCGTAACTAAACATTAGCCAACCCGCAGTCACCCAAACAACAGTCAGAAACATTCTCTCAAAGAGATGCATTTCCAGGGACCAATCAAATAACGTTTCAGTCTCCCAACCCCCCAATATTGCACCGACCAGTCCTAGCCTATGTGTCTGTGGAGAGTTGGGTGTGAAAAAGCTGTCCATCACTCTTTTTGTTCGGCGTAAGGGGCAGTCTCGCCAACTATCCGGTTTTCCAGGCTTGTCTTATGCAAGCTGTGCAGATCGTACAGTAGTCGTAGTGAAAATTTCCCTTAGTCAAGCTTTACCTGTCAGCAGCGTGTTCCGCGGATCGGTGCGTGCGTTTAGAGGTAGTGACTGTGCACTTGTACGTCTAAATTATATAGTAAAAAACCCGTCAGATGACGAAAGCGTGCATTTGAGCGGAGCGTGCGTTTAGGCGGAGACTACTGTATACGCTTCACAACTGTATTTTGAAGGTACATCTATTCATTATTCCCAAGTTTGCTTACTATCAATGGTGCGACGACAAATTAATTGAATTATAGTAGCAATGAAAGGGGAACCTGTTTTTAAACATTGCCAGCAATGGAAAGATATGTTGGTGATGAAATCAAACAAGACAAAATGTTTGTGAAAAAATAACTGTTATGGGCTGTAGGCAATATCTTCAAACAGGCTCCAAAATGCCATTTTCAACCCTCTAAAAACACTAAATTTCAATTTCTTCGGGGGCTTCACCCCCTGAACCCCCACCGGGACGCTGTCCCTGTACCCTGCTGGGGGCCTCTGACCCTGGCAGAATTTTCCTTACTTTTCAGCTTCAGCTGGTGGAAGCACTGTATGTGAGAGGGCTGGATGGGGATAAATGAGGAAGTGGTTGATGTATGACCTCTGCCTCCTAAGTGCTTTTCTCTGGCAATAAACATGTCATTAGTTGAAAGAACAGGCGTACAGACTACCGTCAGAATCATCCAAGACAGCCACCCATTGTGGAGGAGAAAAGACACAGTGTAGGTGGATGTCTCAGGATAGATTCATTGTATATAGAAAAAATGCATGAGGGGAAGTGAGAAGTGGTCATTAATAAATTATATAAGTGATTGTCTTGGACAAGAGGCTGTTAGAGCATGCTTTGCTGTACTGAAATTGGCATTTGTGAATTTTTACATCTTGTATTTTTTTTGGTTTTGTTTCAGGTGGTAGGCAACATGGATGTTCACAAGAAAATGGTTGTGGATGTGTAAGTGGCTGTGCTCCTTGTCCTCCCCTTCCCCTTCCCCCCTGCCCATCATCATCTCTTCTCCCTTCTATGCCCATTTTCCATGTTCCAAAAGGCAAAGGTTCCACAAGAGCACTCTGGATTCGTTCGGACAAGTGACAAGACAGAGCCTGTTTCACAGTGAATATGGAAAACACACACTGCTTGCTTTCTTGACTGCAAGAGGGACGTACTGACAGCTCATGGCTGGGATATCTTTCAATGTTTGCGTTAGAAAATATTTTAAAGTTTCAAGTGATATAAATAAACAATTATGAAAATTGTTGAAAGTTGTAACATCGTTTTTCTGTTTTTGGTTATACTGTAAAAGGTATGAACCTAGAAGTAAAGTTTTCTGTGTTCTGTTTGAACATGTTGTCACCATTGAGTAAGTTAGTTGACATGTCAATGAAGGTCACAGTAGATCTAGTTTATTTGTAGATGTTAAAAAGATTCCAATGTGTTGTCCAGTATTTAACCTTTCTAAGATTTAAATCAATTTCTGGCTCGGCACTCTGGGAATACTGAAATTATCGGTGTACGTCTGCTCTTTGTCTGGCTTTCATTCATATTTGCAAGACAGCCTTAGGTTGGGCACATGCATACAGTGATCGTTTTGGTCAACTTTCTATTGCTTTTGTGTCTTGTCACTCACCAAGTGAATTCATGAGGCTGCTGCTTAGTCGCACGTCATCATCACAATTGAAGCATACTGTGCCAGCCCCCCAGTGATCACACAGCATTTACATAGTGAAAATTGTTCATAATACCTAGACTATTGGTCGCTCCCTCTGTCTCTCTTGTGGAAGCTTTGTTGTCATGACTCCATTTTATTACTAAATTTGTCTATATGTGGGTTATTTTTATACTTCAATGTTTTATAACTTAACTTCAATCAAATATGGCGTTCACACGACTATCCTGCTACTGACTGTGTTAGCTGTTGTAGTTTGATCTTATCACTGAGTTGGGTTATTTATTTATTTTTTTTGGTTCTGTTTTTAGCTTTAGGTTTTTTCTTACAGCTATTTTATTAATTGATGTGCGTTTGTCCCCTTTATATATGCACCTTTCTCTTTCTGTACCTGTTGTTCCATTCTGTGTGTGGGATGTTAAGTATGAATGAAAAGGATACAAAACTTATAATTCCTTCCACTCTCTATAACTCATGCACAACTGTTTCCTCTCCTCCACTTTGATGTGTGTTTACTGTAAGACTTTCAAAAAGAAGGCATAATGACTGCCATCCTGACATTTTACTCTGTGAGAAATATCAGTGGTATGATTACAGCTTGCCATGACATAATGAGCGTGTTTTTGATGACATCAGACTCATAATATCTTCATCAGTTTTGTTTTTTATTATTTGCTACAATATCAACTACCCTGACTATATTCTCCAGTTGTTTTGACGTTTTGTTAAGTTTTCCTGACCAGATATGACAGCTATTGTAACTGCAGTGATGTCCTTAGTTATCCATCTTCTGCTTGTACAATACAATATTATTCAAGGCAACATTATTGTTGATACAAATGTACTACATATAATAGTATTGGATGAATATTGGTTCTTGTATTGGTACAAAGTTCCCTAAAAAGGCTGCATTTTAGAAATCTAATTTATTTAGAAGGAAAGAATTATTTCAGAGTATAAATGCTGTCTTTCACAAATTCCGTGTTGCAAATGTATGTACCTTTGTTCATTTATTTGTCTATTGTTGCTGCCTGACACTTATTTCCTGTAGCTGCTGTGCGCGTGTTTGTATGTGTGTAAATCTGTATAAAAGGATGTTTAATTTACCCCTTTTGTCAGAGTGTTATTTAGTACGTTAGCCAAATGAATGGAAGACTTTATTCTATTATGCTGTTGACTACGAGTCCTGACAAAAAAAAAAGATAGTCTAACATTTCTCTCCTAATTATTTTAAGTATTTTAAGTTTGTCTGGCGTGGTTATTTTCGTTAAGAACTAAGTAAGGAAGTGCATTTCATGTACATAAGCCATAAAGTTGTTAAGATGGGCATAAAGAATCATTTGTATATTGACCATGGACCTTTTTTAATGTTGTTGATTTATTTGAGTTGAGCGTAAATTGGGCTGTGCATAACTTGTGGATCTTTTATAGGCTGGAAGAAATTTATTGATGATCACTCCTTTCACATTGTTCTAGTTCTTCCTTACTATTTTTCGTTTATTGCAAAAGCATGCAGCGCAGGAATATGAATATATATATATAGAATGACCTCTCTAAGCCTGACGCTTAAACATTTGTGAATAACATCAATATAAAACAGCAATCTTGTGACCTCGTCAGTTGGAAATATTTGAATGGTGGTTTTTTTTTTAACATATATTTTGTCGTGGTCAAGTTTTTTTTTGTTTATTGTTCGTTAGAAGTAGCCCCGTCAGTAAAATATTGTCTACAGGTCTATAATGTACAATCATATACTGGTCACAATTTGAAAGATTGTCCTTTTTATTTTCTTGTTATGGCAACATCTTTCATCGACTAGAGTTGGAATTGTTAGGTACATTTTCTTAGGTCGTGAAATGAACTTTGATTGTTTCCAGGACAGTGAGAAAGACTGATTAAATAAAAACTTTGTGTTTTACTAGACCTTTGAATTTCATTCAGAAGGACTGATTAATAAATAAAAACTTTGTGTTTTACTGGACCTTTGAATTTCATTCAAGACCGTGGAAATTTGTAATCAAGAAGAAAAGCTTTTGCTTTGCTAGATCATATTATCATTTTCGCCTTTATTATCCATTTTCTCTACCACATAGATCATAATTTTCATGTATGTGTGCAGTCGTGCGCATTTGTCAGATGTATTTTGTGCTTGCCATTTAGTTTCGGAATGTGTATTATAATGATCATAATGATCATATGATGTGTGAAATGGTGTGACTCAATTCCTAGTTTGCATTCCTAGCCAGTGTTTTCTGTCACATAATATATATGGAGCTTCATTCGCAGTAGAACACCTGCCTAGTCCTTATGAATTTTACCCTCACCCAGTCTTTAAGTTATTCCCCAAGCTGTGATATGAGGCTTTGAAAATTTCTCACAGGCATGCATTATGCATAATTATCTCACATTTGGATGTTTGGTCTGTGTTTTTGTACCCACCTTGTTCTATTTCTTTAGATGGGCTATGAGCTTGACATAACATTTTGACACCTGCGTTTTGTTGCGAATGACTCAGAAATGTTAGAGTACCAATGCTGTGACAAATATCCAAAAATTTTCAAAGTGTATTTTAAAATTTCGATTGTTGAAACGTAGTAAGTTTTTGTCACCCCGTATTGATCTCTTCTTCTCTCTTTATACCTACCCTGTCCTCCATCATTGAATTGTCTACTTTCTCCACATTGTTGTGACACATCAAATGCTTTGACAGATTTTTGTTATTGGAAAGTAAGAATCAGATGAAAGAGAGCGCCCAAGGTTATTTCATTTAGTTCTCCAGTAGTTCACTCTCAATTTACAGAATGACATTGCTCGCACATGATATTTAGATCTGCAGTTGAACATTTTCTAGATCTGCTGTAACATAACGCACAGTGAAGACTCATCAACCAAATAAATTCACGAAGCATGTACACTCAGTTTGACAGTGGTCCTGCTGGGAGGCAGCTTTCAGGGAACACCTATCTAATTTCTTTGCAATTTAAAGAAACAAAGAAAACATACACTAAGAAAAGAAAAAAGAAAAACAAACTGGCTACGGTACTTGAAAAAGTACAAATTATTATTTTTCTGAAGTCAAAATCGTTGTGTTTGCTTCTGATGGTGTTAATATTAAGAAGTGTTCTTAAACTTGTATTGAATTGTAGGTATTAGAAAACACTAGGAATAGAAATCTGAGTGAAATTGATCTACAGTAAAGTAAGGTACAAGAGAAACTAGATACACCTCATTTCGCATCAGTGGTCATATTTTCAGGTTTTTATTGAAAGTTTCTCTGATTTGAGGCAAGGACATGTTCCTTTGATATCCTGTGCAGTGTTGAGCAAGTCAGGATGCAGGACTGTATAAGTCTTCTTTACCACGCTGCTGGGCAGCCGATTTGTATAGCCTGCCCTGTCTGTCTTGCTCTACCTGTGATTGTGTTGTCCTGCAGATTCTTTCCAAACATGAGGATGTCATAAGACCTCATTCTTTCTTTGCCAAAGTGCAGAAATCTTGTACAGATCTGGAAACAGAGCACTTTTATTCCCCCCATCATTTTCCTGGATGTGGCTCCACATAGCATGAATCAACGTGTGAGTGTTGTCCTCTGGGCAAGGGTAGAGACTGGATTGCTGTTTATGTTATTATAGAGTTATAGGTTTAAATTTAAATCGGAGGATTGATACAGCTCTACTGGTGTTCTTGCATTACAGTGAGCTCTTGAGGTCCTTGCATAGTTTCCCTCCCCCCATCTATCCCAGAAATATACTAGCATGCCATCTGCTCTGTGGGCTGGGTTAGCACTTAAAACTTGTATAAAAACCTATGCAATGTAGACACAAGTGAATTTATAGACCTGATCACTTGGACATTTTGCTTTTTATTCTTAGCCATTTTTTTCCAGCAGGCTCATGATTATTTATTATTTTAATTTTAATTATTACTTTCAATTCATATTATTAGTAATTTTAAAAAAATCATACCTCTACTAAGGTGGAAATTCTTTATGTCCCCTTCTTTTTGGAGCACAAGTGTGCATACACTATACTTTCACATACTACCGCAGACAAGAGTATAGTGAATTGCTGTATCTTTGAATTTTTTCATCGTATTATTATATATGACAATCTTTTTTGATGGTTCACAATTGCAAATCCGTTTTGGCTATTGGATATCTTATAAGTATAAGTGCTACCCAACTCGATCAACAGATCTAATGCATGAACTTTCCCCTATTTCGTTTGGTTGTTTTTATGTTCTCGTAATTTGTTTCTTCTAAGTTTTCTTGGTGTGAGAGTACTTTTTCATCATCTCTTTTTTCTCTTGTTGTGCTGTTGTCATGATTGCTATTTTGTATATGATCAGATTTTCATTATTTTATCTACACTTATTGACTGTTGTTCAAATTTTTCCTTATTCAAAATAAACGAAAATACAGCCACTTCCTGTTAAAGACTTATGTTCAGTTGTGTGCGGTATGAAAATTGATTTTCCTGTCATGGAACATTTATTGTACTTTTCATACAATAACCCATCTGATATTTCTGTACGTTTTTTTGGTGTTATCCAGTGTACTTTCAAAGAGTTGTTATAGTAGCAGTTTTATGGCACTTGCAACACAAATAGGTCATGTAAGGGCCTAAGATTAGAGGTGTTACTACCAGAGAATAACAAACAAGGAAAAGGAGGTGAGGTAAGGACGATAATGAGAGATGTTTGATAGGAAATGAGGAAAGCACTCCTGAGCAACCCCCCCCCCTCCTCCCCACTCAACCATCCATTCTCAAAGAGCAGTTGTTGTAATGACTGGCACATATCAGATGGTTTAGGAGCATTGCAGAAGTCATTTTTTGGACATTAATCTGAGAATATCTGGTTCTTGCATTTTTTTGTTGGTCAGGTGGTTTCCCTCTTTCTTAAATGTAGATGTTTTATGCCCCATCAACACAATTTAGATCATTTAAGAAGCAGGAGTGGGTGGTTGGCGGGTGCTCTGGTGTGGTTTGCTCCTTCTTTCCTATCAAACATCTATTGTCCTTATCTCCTCTCCTTCTTTTTTATGTTTGTTACTCTTTTGTAACACATCTAATCGTCTAATGACCTTATGCAGTTGCGAGCGCGGTAAAACCTCTACTAAAACTAAAAAAGAGAAAGCAGGCTTCTGACAGTGCCTGTTAGGGCCACGACGGATACGTCCAAGGAGAAAGACTTAAATACTCAATAAAAATCTTTTCCCCACTCAAGAACTGAACTCTGGTCTCCTGCGTGCAACATTGAAACACCAAACCGCTACACACAGACTCTGGTTACATTTAGGTGACCAATGACAAAATCTTTTGTTCCCAAATTATCACATAGGGAGCAACAGGAAGCAGTACTCTGGCTTTGAGTGAGGTAGACCAACTTTAGAAAATACGGTATAACACGGATAGGTAGAACAGAGAAGACTCGAAATCTCGCATCCGTCGAAATGTGCCTGCGATCCTGCTTTTTTTTTCTTCTCGAACTACTGAAGCCGGTCCCGAAGAATTCTAGCTATCCTTGTTATACTGTATTACAATTGAATCTTCATAAATGGAGACCTGCCATCAAAATCTTGCTCCCCTCTTGGTAAATTCCTCTTACACTTAAGACAGAAACCTGCAAAACCCGGAAATGGAGAGAGAAATTTCTCTTTCGAAGGGTTTTGTCTTATTATGGAAGATGGAAAATGCTTTCCCCACTCGTTCCTGACTATATACAAATCTCCAAAGTTTGGTTCCACCGGCTCTAAACTTGGTGCTACGCTGCCAGATGAGGAAATTGTTCAGTCTGGGGAGTAGCTAAGCTGTTACCAGAGAGTTTGCTGTTACCCTATCCGTGTGAGCCTTGGGTTTGTGAAATTTCACAATCACAACTGCTTGTGAAAGTGCTTCAGTGCTGGGATATCGTGGAAACTTCCCTGGGTAGTCAGAGGTATATTAAATATGAAATAAAATTTGACCACTGCCTGCCGCCCTTTTCTTTTTTTTTTTTTAGTGTTTTAATGGTGCTTGCAACTGCAAAAGATCATAATATGAGCATGCGGAACACATTTAACGTATTCAGTTGGGAGGATGGCTGAAGCATACTCTTATAATATCGATTTTGGACCACCAGGGAATCTTTAATGTGCGCAACTTGCACACGGGACCTCCGAGAGTTTTCGCCCTTGTCTGAAAAGGCTAGGTGTAGATCTTTCCTACCATAAGATCCGGGGAATGGCTGAGAGACAGCAGTAAGAAGGAGCCAAGGAGTAGCAGTTGAATGGCTGCAGAAAGAGTCAGGAGCCCAGAGGCGGGGGCAAATTGCATGAGGGGGTGGGGGCAGAATGTGGAGATGAAAGCAGATGACAGAACTTTGTTAGAGAACAGGAAAAGATATGAAAGTGAAAGGAGAAAGTTTTAGAGAACAAAATTGTCCGTAGCTATACCGATTCGAACCATGACCTATTGAAAGAGAGGCGAACACGTTACTTAACTTCTAGTTCATTCTCAAATCTCAGTCAGTCTTTCCTTTGTTTGCAAAGTTTGGACCCATGTCTGTGGTGTAGAAGTAAGATTTTGCATTGTTCACTATAGATATGAATCAGATTAGATTCCCACTTGAGAAAGACATTTTATTGGGTATCTCTACTGGGATATATTCCACAGTCTGTCTCATGTAGTCTAAATTGTGTAGAAATAGAAAAGAGCATAATACTTTGCACAAAAGAAAGCAATGTTTTCTTTGAAATCTATAATATATTATGTTTGTGAAAGTTCATAAGGGGGCTCTCGTGGCCTAGAGGTTAAGGTGTTGGCCTCTCATTCAAAAGGTCCCTGGTTCGAATCCGGGTAGCGACCGAAAAATTTTCTTCTCTAAATTTGTCTCCTTTCACCTCATTTCCTGCTCTCTAGTAATGTTCTGTCGTCTGCTTTCGTCTCCTCTTTCTGCCCCCACCCCCTCACCTCCTTTGCCCCTTCCTCTGGGCTCCTGATTCTTTCTGCAGCCTTTCTACTGCTGCTCCTTCGCTTCTTCTTACTGCTGTCTTTCAGCCACACCCCTGATCATCTGGTAGGAAAGATCTACACCTAGCCTTCTCGGACAAAGGCGAAAAATCTCGGAGGGCTCGTGTGCAAGTTGTGCACGTTAAAGATCCCTTGGTGATCTAAAATCGATAAGAGTAGGCTTCGGCCGTCACCCGGGCAAAATTCAAAATTTCCTACCAACTGAAAATATTAAGTGTGTCCCGCGCGCTCATATGACCTAATGCAGTTGCGAGCGCCGTAAAACACTTTACACAAACAAAAAAAGCTCATAACTTTGGTTGCCTAAAACTTCCGAACCACTTAACTTTCGAATTTGAAAAAATTAACGGTGGCTCAGAATCATTTAAAGGGTGCACAATGATATCAAGGCGTCTGAAGTCACTATTGTTTAATTTTCAGTTTTTCATTAGTTTGGTTTAGATCTTATCTTGGAGAAGTCCGTCATCTAAGACGCCATTGTACAAGTGAAATTTCCGTCCACAAGCAGTGCCCACTGTTCATCGAATGGGTAGCTAGTCTTTAATAAGTGGCTTATTACAATGAAGGCAACGTGCTTGCTTCTTATACCAAAATGCTTCCATGTAGGTTTGTGGGGTAGGCAAACACAGTCAGTAGTGTTTTCTCAGGTTTTTTTCATAATTCAGATCCTATTTCAAGCGACAAATTTTAATACAGTGGAACTCGGATCCAACGAGGTCGCCGGGCCTGACCTAAAATCTCGTTGAATCCGAGTGTTAGTTATAGCAAACACGAGGTTTTGTGTAGATAATTACAGGCACTGAGCATGTATAAAGAGTGGTCACAAGTAGTGCCTGAAATGCCAGCATATTATGAGCTGTGCAAAAAAAAGACCGATTCGTTCAAAGGCATTCCTGTGTCATCTCGATTGTTTACAGTTTACAGCAAAGTTGTGTTGCTAGCATGCTGTGTAGATCCTAGCATAACGGCAACTTTTGATTTCATAGACAAGCGCACAACTCATTACGAACATCTACGTCAAGACTATCTTATCATTGTAATAATGATCAGTTGCAGAGGGGAAAAAAGACTGTGACATGTTTGTATCTGCGACGTTCAACACCCGGATCGCTAGTGCGCCCCCCCCTCCCCTCCCCGACACACACACACACACAGTCACACGTGTGCAGGCTGCCCATCCGACTCCGACACACGCCAGAGACTCGTGCGCCAGCCAACCACGCATGTGTTGGTATGAAAAAAGGCCGCTGATTGGTCGCATGCAATCGGCTAAGTGAATAATGGTTCACGATGCAGTTGCGATGGATGGTTTCCGGGAATAAAGTTCGTTCTGGGAGAAAAATGAACGAAGCCACGTCTGCGGGGGCTGTTCACCCTGGAAGCGACCTCGTTGAATCCGAGTTCGCTGATTTAAGTGCTCGTTGAATCCGGGTCATTTTTATTGATTTTAAAGAAGGAAAAAAACGGGGAATCTATCTCATCTCGTTGAATCAGAGTTCCACTGTAATCCACAAGACTGGCGGGATTAGCTATCTCGGAAAAATTAAAACCCCTTCCTAATGCCCAAACAAAACCAGAAAATATCGCCAGAAGGCTACAGATTAGGGGTTTCCTTAAAAAAGAAAGTCATATTAATATGGCTGCGAAGAGAGGGGCACTACTACTGAGAAGAAAAAAAGGCTGCACGTAAAAATCACTTGCGCTTGCACTGTGGTTTGATGTCTTTGGTAAACTATCTTTGAAATATGATGTAGGAAGGCAGAATGAAATGAATTCACTTATAAGTGGCAGACAGACCATGCAATGTATGGTGGTATCAATTACAAAAACCACACTAATAATCAAATCCTGAAAAAAAAAAAAAAAGTGAAGCTGCAACAATAATGATGTACACCAAGTTATTGGAAGTGCAAGTCTCAATATGTCACTGGTGATAGTCTCTGTGCATTAAAAACAAGCCAATCTTTTGTTTTTGTTTTAGAAGAGGTTTTACGGCGCTCACAACTGCATAAGGTCATATGAGCGCCAGAAGATTAGAGGTGTTACAAGAGAGTAACCAACATAAAAAAGAAGAAGTGGAGATAAGGACGATAGATGTTTGATAGGAAAGAAGGAGCAAACCACACCAGAGCACCCGCCAACCACCCACAAGTCAATCTTTGCCCATACAGTAAGAGTAAGACCAAAAACCACACTCCACATCTGAAATCATAAACAAAAAACCCAGAAGAGTCCTTTCAATTAAACATCCATTTTATTTTTAAATATGGCTTTATCACAGAACTATGTACAGCACCTATAAAAACATGAAATTCTAAAGTGAGGAAGATCTCACTGTTGATTTCAACTCTTCCGTTTCTATTCTGAAAACAAGCTGGAAAGCTGGAAACACATTCACATTCAGTGCTCCCCTGATGA